AGTCGATGGCAGGGCAAAGCTGGTAGGCATAATTTTGGTATGCGGGCGCGCGAAATGATTCCAACGGTGAGCGAGCAGGTGCAGCCTATACCATGGGTTGCGGAGCTGGTGGGGGTATCCGAAACATGCAGATTTTGTGGTAATGCGGAAGCATTGTCCGTTCCATGGATTTCATTCGCACTAACAGATTGGCACTATTGTGTCATCTTGTTTTGGTTGTACCTTGCTTGAACATGTTCGGTCTCGATTCTCTAATGCATAAAAAATATTTGAAATTTCGGGGGTCGAATGCTAAATACCGAGAAACAAAAATGGTTTGGAATCCTTTGAACTGTTTAGACTCAAGGACAAGGCGAAAGCCATCTCGTCCATTTTGCTGGGGTAATCGATTCATGCGTTTCATGCCAATCTTTTTTAGAAGCGGCTACCAGGAATAATCGTATGCGATAGCCTTACTGTGTGCATGCATGGCAAACTTCGCGATGATAAATACCGAAACGGACTATCATCTCAAGACCTTGTTTTCAAAACGTGTAATGAACATACATCATCGCCGTACACGGACTCTTGAACCTCAAACTTAAATGGTTAAGGGAACGACCCATTGCATACAAAGAAATTCAAACAAACGACAACATATCGAACTTGGGAAAACTTCTGGAAACCGGCGGTAACCCGTCAACCTTGGTTACCGCCAGGAACTCCTAGAGCTTCCTTGCGATATACATGAATGGCATGCGAGCGCGGCAATCTCGAATTCCGCGCGCGCGCGAGGGTACGGTTTCATGGAAATGGTGTTCACAGCTCCTTGCTTGTCCACAGCTCGAGTTCGTCTCGATACTGCAGACTAGCGCTAGTGAGCAAATTCAAACATACGACAACATGTAGAACTTGGAAAACAAAAACAACTCGCTCACAACATGCTTTTGCAACTCCGATGATGCTGTGCTCCAACGGTGGCGATCTTTGCGGAAATACAGCCGCCTAACATTGGGAATGCGCAATTTGTGTGTGCGTGCTCTTGCAAAAACAATGTGACGAACTGAACGAACAAAATCGTGATTATCGATCCTCATGGTTTCTCACCGCCTCCCCCCGCTTCTTCCCGACACGTACTTAGCGTGTCTACCATCTTGCACATGCGTTTGTCGTATTTTGTCAATCGCTCCACACATTTGGCGTGTCCGTGGCCTTACGGCCCGCCATCCCAACACGTAAATTTGGGGAGCGCACTCTATACACCGACGCTTGTTCTGGCCCTGCGCCGAAATTTGCACAAACAACGGATCCTGGTGTATACGGGACCCTGGTGTATACGTTTTTCGTTGGTTCCTGGGAAACGGAACAACAAGTATACACCACACCGCCCCGACGTCGTCCCCAACCCTCAACAAGTCTTGGGATTGAGAAGCCGCCCGCCACTGGCAATGTGTATGTCCGAGTTCCCGATAAATAACACCCGAGCCTCTGCATATTCAGCGGTCGTCTTTGGATGGGCAGCTATTTGGGAGCCACAACCGAGCCCATGTCCGCGACGCTTGGGGGCGCGAGTGGTTAGAGCGCCCAAGGTGGCCCAAAATAACGCCAACATGGCTCAAGGTACCTCAAGATAGTTCACGATAGCCTCCGACACACCGTAATTAAGACGGTCCCAAGACTGTTTCAAGTGCCCTCCGAGCTCTCCAAGAACCCCCCCAAGATGCCAAACTCCTTCAACATCCTGGGGGAAAACAATGTTTGTTTTGCCTTCTCGCCTTTTCGCTTCCGATGGGCTCTTGAGCCTTCAAGATGGCCCCACGACGGCCGAAGAGGGGCCCAAAGGGTCCCCAGAGGGCTCCCCAGAGCGCCCCAAGGGGGCCTCGAACAATTAATCTTGAGCCTCCGAGGGGGGGGAGCTGAATGTATGACCCCCCTCTTTTTGAACCATGGGGCCCAAGAAGGCTCCAAGAGGCCCCCCAAACCTCCCCAAAGAGCCCCATGAAGGCCCCAAGAAAACCCCACGAAAACTCCAAAAAGGCTTCAATAATGCCCCAAGAGGCTCCGCGATGACCCTCAGAACGCTCCAGGGTGACCTCCGAGACAACGTGTCCAAAGCTGTTGTCACACTTTATACTTCTACGCTGCCCTCATCACGGCAAGTCGCCTGGCGATCTGTTTCTGGATGGGCTGGTGGGGGTACGCGAAGCGTCAAGAATGTAAAGGAGCATGCGTCAATGTGCGCATGCGTCAAGGGGCAAACTGCGGAGGCTTGACATCTACAGTAAAGGCGTTTTGTTGTTGTTTTACTGTTTGTGATTTGCTTTTTGTTGTTATTTGCTTTTTCATGCTATAATGTATGGCTGTTGCGAACATGCATTACAAGACTTGTCGGTTTGCATTGCCAATCTCCGCAAACTATGGGGCATCCCAAAATTACTGCTACTCAAGGCTATCAAACAATATCGTACTGGTTCAGGCGGCCCTGTCACATCGTCAGGCTCCGAACAACTTCATCTGTACA